TGAAACCAAACATAAAACAATGTGTGTATCAACCGATAGCACACGAAACAATACAAGTATCAAACGATACTGTGAAACCAAACATAAAACAATGTGTGTATCAACCGATAGCACACGAAACAATACAAGTATCAAACGATACTGTGAAACCAAACATAAAACAATGTGTGTATCAACCGATAGCACACGAAACAATACAAGTATCAAACGATACTGTGAAACCAAACATAAAACAATGTGTGTATCAACCGATAGCACACGAAACAATACAAGTATCAAACGATACTGTGAAACCAAACATAAAACAATGTGTGTATCAACCGATAGCACACGAAACAATACAAGTATCAAACGATACTGTGAAACCAAACATAAAACAATGTGTGTATCAACCGATAGCACACGAAACAATACAAGTATCAAACGATACTGTGAAACCAAACATAAAACAATGTGTGTATCAACCGATAGCACACGAAACAATACAAGTATCAAACGATACTGTGAAACCAAACATAAAACAATGTGTGTATCAACCGATAGCACACGAAACAATACAAGTATCAAACGATACTGTGAAACCAAACATAAAACAATGTGTGTATCAACCGATAGCACACGAAACAATACAAGTATCAAACGATACTGTGAAACCAAACATAAAACAATGTGTGTATCAACCGATAGCACACGAAACAATACAAGTATCAAACGATACTGTGAAACCAAACATAAAACAATGTGTGTATCAACCGATAGCACACGAAACAATACAAGTATCAAACGATACTGTGAAACCAAACATAAAACAATGTGTGTATCAACCGATAGCACACGAAACAATACAAGTATCAAACGATACTGTGAAACCAAACATAAAACAATGTGTGTATCAACCGATAGCACACGAAACAATACAAGTATCAAACGATACTGTGAAACCAAACATAAAACAATGTGTGTATCAACCGATAGCACACGAAACAATACAAGTATCAAACGATACTGTGAAACCAAACATAAAACAATGTGTGTATCAACCGATAGCACACGAAACAATACAAGTATCAAACGATACTGTGAAACCAAACATAAAACAATGTGTGTATCAACCGATAGCACACGAAACAATACAAGTATCAAACGATACTGTGAAACCAAACATAAAACAATGTGTGTATCAACCGATAGCACACGAAACAATACAAGTATCAAACGATACTGTGAAACCAAACATAAAACAATGTGTGTATCAACCGATAGCACACGAAACAATACAAGTATCAAACGATACTGTGAAACCAAACATAAAACAATGTGTGTATCAACCGATAGCACACGAAACAATACAAGTATCAAACGATACTGTGAAACCAAACATAAAACAATGTGTGTATCAACCGATAGCACACGAAACAATACAAGTATCAAACGATACTGTGAAACCAAACATAAAACAATGTGTGTATCAACCGATAGCACACGAAACAATACAAGTATCAAACGATACTGTGAAACCAAACATAAAACAATGTGTGTATCAACCGATAGCACACGAAACAATACAAGTATCAAACGATACTGTGAAACCAAACATAAAACAATGTGTGTATCAACCGATAGCACACGAAACAATACAAGTATCAAACGATACTGTGAAACCAAACATAAAACAATGTGTGTATCAACCGATAGCACACGAAACAATACAAGTATCAAACGATACTGTGAAACCAAACATAAAACAATGTGTGTATCAACCGATAGCACACGAAACAATACAAGTATCAAACGATACTGTGAAACCAAACATAAAACAATGTGTGTATCAACCGATAGCACACGAAACAATACAAGTATCAAACGATACTGTGAAACCAAACATAAAACAATGTGTGTATCAACCGATAGCACACGAAACAATACAAGTATCAAACGATACTGTGAAACCAAACATAAAACAATGTGTGTATCAACCGATAGCACACGAAACAATACAAGTATCAAACGATACTGTGAAACCAAACATAAAACAATGTGTGTATCAACCGATAGCACACGAAACAATACAAGTATCAAACGATACTGTGAAACCAAACATAAAACAATGTGTGTATCAACCGATAGCACACGAAACAATACAAGTATCAAACGATACTGTGAAACCAAACATAAAACAATGTGTGTATCAACCGATAGCACACGAAACAATACAAGTATCAAACGATACTGTGAAACCAAACATAAAACAATGTGTGTATCAACCGATAGCACACGAAACAATACAAGTATCAAACGATACTGTGAAACCAAACATAAAACAATGTGTGTATCAACCGATAGCACACGAAACAATACAAGTATCAAACGATACTGTGAAACCAAACATAAAACCCTAGTAACCCGTACCGGTTACATATTTATAAACAAATAAAAAATTAAAGAAAACTCCTAATACATGTATATTATAAATATATAAGTTTAGTTCAAATGTCTAGCTGTTCTCTCAGTTATATATCATGAATCAAGCCAGTTAAAGGCCCCAGAAATACATATAGCTTACTTCAATTCTAAAGCAAAGATACCATCTTAACTATATCATCTATTGAATATCTTGTACTATAATTCTATTCAAGGATTTAAACTGCACACTTTTGCTTCAATGGAATATGGTAGGTATATAGGTATCTGACTTCTTGATTGGCTTCTACTAAGATTACTATTAAGAAGCCTAGAGACAAGTAGCTAGAATAGAGCTACTTGCAACTTTCTAGACTATAGGATTCAGCACATTGGTGTCTTAGAGTTGTGTTTGATGGGATTGCACTTTGAGTCTGATTAAGTGACAGAGATAGTAATCCTGAATGGAGTTCTGAGGTTAGTTCTACAGCATCCAAAATATTCAGAAATGTAGGATCAATTATTTCAAACTCAATATCCACAGACTCAGAGCTGGGATTCATTAACTCTTAAAAGAAACTCTTGTTTGCTGCCTCTTCTACTTTAGCTTAAAATGGTTGGGTTCTAGTATATACAAATCTACCTGTTGTATATATATCAAGGAAGAGATCTACAAACTTGTCATAAAGAGAATACCCCTTATATCTGTACTTGGCTGCATCCTTATAAGACTAATTACAATATATTATGATTAGTTTCTAAGCATAAATTTATTTAGATTCAGAAACCATAAATTAGAGAAAACCTAATAATCTAAAACTTAACTGTATATATGCCTTCCACACCTCCCCTAAAGCTATAGGAATTCCCTTGATGGTATTCTACCCAAACCCAGAGCATTGTCTAATCATATAAATAATCTCAAATTCTCTTTTCAATCATGTCTTTATTAGATATTATAAATTGTTAACAGCTAAGATCTTAATATCTATATACATAATAAGCTTACTATAATCCCTTTACTCCTAGCTTGGACAATTTTAATTGGCTTTACAAGAGTATTCTTATAAGCCATATTCAATTATGCTATCTTAGTAGTCCATGCTAACTTTTTAGAACTATTCTCACTCCTGTCACTATTCTCAACCTGTTTTAAAAGTGCTTCCAGGAGAAATCATTCTGTATCTTCAACCTACAAACTATTTCCCACAATTGCTAAGACTATTTGTATTGTGAGTATAGGCTTTGTATTCTATTTCTAAGGAGGGTAGTGCAATATCTTATTGAGGTTGGCGATATAAGACTTTTTTATTTTACAAGGAAAATTTTTAACTCTACTTGTACAGCAATTATTATATTGTCTTAATGTATATATTTATTTTGTATTTATCCAAACAAATACCTATATTTCTAAAATATGCTATAAATTTACTTTAGAATATATACTATGTACAACCCTTATCGTGATAAATCTATATTGCAACCTGCCAAATAGGGCCTTATATATATGTCAATTAAAGATTAGAATATACACTTCTTAAACTTCGCTCTCCAGTACTCAAGCCCTCGTCTATAAGACCCCATCCAGTTTGATTATTTAATCTAACCACTGCTGTGTAGGATTTTATAAGATTGTTGTATTTGTAGTCTACTTTGACTACAGGCTTTGTAGGAATTCATGCAGTAATCTTAGTGATAATTCTCTACTTTGAAATACCAGATCTCCATTTCATTTTCTATAGGTTCTCTGACTCTTCAAGCCATTGAATAAGTTGCTCATTTTAGTCTTTCATTCAAATAGAGTACTTACTATAATTTCACAACATTGTCACTATTCCTTTCCTATTTCTACTTTCTTGATTGCATAGAAGCTCAAAGGATCTAATGGTTCTTTCCATTTCACTATAATGTCCGATAAAAAAAAAAAAAAAAAAAATTTCCCATTGTACACTAAATATTACACCCATTACCTCACTATTTTCTGAGAATCTCAAATCTGTCACCTCATATATGCTAATATAATCAGCTACACTCGATTTGTACACTAATGCAAACTAATGCACTACATATCTACCATTTTACTATTTTTTTATGTTTTTAACTTTGAAAACCCCTACAGGTCAGGTATCTATAGTATCATACTGTACGTACCGGTAGCTTTGGTGGCTGCATGGGGGTATGTACTATACGGTATGATATTTTTATCGGGGGGTTGGCGGGTTTGTTTAGAATTTACGGTAGGGTATGATACTTGCTGTGCTGGTACTGTCGCTCGATAGCACGTGCAGTGAGAGGTGCAAGTACTGTTGTATGATAGCTCATTATAAGCTCCTACGGAACGGCGGTGGCGAAGGGCAACTTGTTGTTTTTTTTTGTTCCTCCGGTGTGGATTGGGTAATTACTCGTGCATCGCTGTCTAGAGCTATATCTATACTCGAGTATAGGTTACCTATTCTGTGGGAGATGTAAGATTTACTCCCGGTTGCTAGAAAAATTCAAGTTACCCACAACCCCCTCTCCCCGCTTTCTACAGAGTGGTGATATTATAGGAAGATATTACAATAGAAAAGGCAACAATGGAAAGGAGAAAAAAACAAAAGTGCGCCAGAAGGGAATCGAACCCCTGCCGATTGCTTGGAAGGCAATAATCCTACCACTGGACCACTAGCGCTATATTACATAATGCTACTTCAGGGTTTAGAAATTCTCTAACTTGTTCACTCCAATCCATTTTACATCCGTCACTCACAACCGCCAAGCCACGAACCTCACCTCTTCCTCCCAACCACCACCACCACCACCACCATCACCATCACCTCCCACTTCATCAACCGAAAAAAAAACTCCCCCGGAAAAATGTCAGACCCCCAAGAGACCTCCGACCCCTCCACCTTCCTCAGCGAGATAATTGGCGCCCCCATAACCGTAAAGCTGAACTCTGGCGTCGAGTACAAAGGTGCTAATCCATCCATCCATCCATACCCGGATATCCGTTGTGAAGCAGCTAACGTTTCCCGTTGTCGGCGGCTTGATAGGTGAATTGTCGTCGGTGGACGGTTACATGAATATTGCGCTGGAGAAGACGGTGGAGTACGTTGGGGGGCAAGTGAGNNTTGGACTGAATGAGGGGCTGATGTGGGGGGGGAGGGGGTGAATAGTATTGTATATCTCTCAGGATGCAACATGATGGGTGAATGCGGCGGGGGGAATGGGGTAGGTTAAAATTTTAGGGCTGCGACACATTTGCAATACCAACACGGCGCGAATAATAATGACCTTACTACTGCTACGTTCCGATTCTCTAAACTAAATAATCACCCCCGGTAAACGCATTTCCCATATGATAAGTAAAGAAAGAAATGCGAAGCCGTGTACAATAGAAAGAGAACAACACCCGAGAGAAGTGAAGAGAAAACCCACACGCATTTCCAGTTTTTTCGTTCCGAGATTCCATCCAGGGAAACGGGAATAACTGAATGGAGGGGGAACCACTGTACCGGATACAAAACTAATAATAGGAAAATCACACTACACGCTTCAGAAAGAAAGAAAGAAAATCTGATGATGATGCAAGCAGATCACTTCTTCTTCCCAAACCTCAGAATGCCCATGAGTTTGTTCTCCTTTGAAGCACGATCACCTCCTCCGGAGCTCTTTCCTTTCCCCTTACTAGAGCCTCCTCCTCCAGAGTTATCATCGGAACCTGGCTCGTTTTCTAGTCCTTCAGGCTCCTTGGGTGTCGGAAGAGCTTTTGAGCTTTTGATAAACTCGTCTTTAAGGGCTAGTTCGTGTTTGGCTTTTGCTGAGACGTCAGGCCCCCAGACTAGATGCACGGTGGCACCGGTTCGCAACTTGAGGTCAGTGGTAAGTCGTTTTGGTGCCTGAGGGAGAGTTTCTCTGGGAGGAATCCCTGGAGTGAATGTTAGAAATTGATCGAGGAGAGGTGTCACCGTTGCGGCTTACTTAGAAGGAAAGGCTCGTTGGGGTGGCGGAGGGTGCCTCTGACGGCATCGTAGAGATCCTGAGCTGCAGATTGGAAAGATGATTAGTCTACCAAATGATGAACATTGAATAACTGGGCTTTGCACGTACAAGTATGAGTTTTAAGAAAGTTCTGTTCGGAGGCATATCCGTCCGGGAAACGGACTTTGATAACGACCTAAAGAGAGCATTTATGAGCAACTCCAGCCTCTCACCCAAGCCTCGTACATACCCTCTCGACTTTCTCCGCCTCCGCGAGCATAGCGGCTTTCCTCTCTTGGATCTCTCTATCAGAAGGCAAGCGTTTTCCAATAGTCTCCTTCTTGATGTTTGCTTGGATACGCTTGGCTTCGGTGATTCCAACCTCGTATGCTTTGTCCGGAATATCGACTGCAGGGGCATCAGTACCTTATCTCTCGGTTACAAAAATGGACACCAATAATCCTTACTCTGAGTTGCTGCAAGTGTATTAGACTGCGAGGGCCTAAAAACCGAGACAACCGGTTTATTAGCATCCGGAGATTCGGAAGGGTCACCCTTAGTCTCAAGCATATCGACCGATCCCTCCATTGGTTTATCAACCTCCATCGCGTTATTCTTGCCCGTATCCTCCTGCTTAGCCGAATCCGCCGGAGCATCGAACATCATCAAATCTCCCTCCGCCTTCCTTTTCTCCCCCTCCGCACCCTTCGAAGACTCCCCGCCATCCTGCACTCCCACCTCAGCAGCCTTCTCCTTCGGAGTCGAAAACCCAGCAATCTCATCCAAGGCAACCTCAAAAGGAATATCCGTCTCTTTATACCTAAGTGTAACCAATTGCCTCCCACTCCTGATCCCGAAATCACTCAAGGTCTGCTGTAGTTCACGAAATCCGGAGACCTCCCTGTTCATGACTCGCGCTACGGGCATGACATAGTGCAGACGCCCACTCCCGGAAGTTCCGGAGGGGGCTGCACGCTCGGTGATGTTGATGGTGGAGTTGTTTGTGAGGGAGCCTTTAGCTTCCAGCTTCCGCATGATCTCCCATATTGTGCTCGAGGCGGTGAACGTGTCTGTGAATTCCTGGATCGGCTTGCCGTCGGCCTCCTGCGCTCTGAGGACTATCGTTATCGGGGCGCCGCGGTTCTTGGCAGGGACTAGGTCGAGTTTTGCTCCGGGGCTAAGGTTTGTCAAGCGGATTTGGAGCGAGAGGTCGAGAGTTGTGTTCCCTTTTCTGTAACGGTTAGAATGGATTCAGTTAGTTGAATTGCCTCCCCCATACCCTATATATGTGCATATCTGTGTGTGTGTGTGTGCGTGTGTGTGTAGGTCTGCGAGTATGTGCGAGTGATAGGGCCGTACTTGAGAGCAAAGTTCTGGGGATCAACTCCCAACTTTGCGCAAGCTTCTATGTGGATTTCACTCAGAGATCTGGTCGGAGGAGCTTTGACACTTGCTCTCCGGCCGCCGTAGATGACGACTACGGATGCGGAAGACATTCTCGATGCCGGTTATAAGGTGTTTCCGGGGGTGGCTTGTGGGTGACTGTGGTCGAGGAAAGAGAGGTCAAGGGGGAAGGGAGGGGTGTCGAAGCTCGTTCGTGATGAGCACTCAGCGGTGCTATCATACCACGAAATATTGTTCCCGTAGGTTATGGTTACATAGCCACGGTGGGGTTTATAAGCTTTAGTCTTGGCGTCTCACCAGGGTCAGCCATCAAGAGAGCCTGGAAACCACTGGAAGATGCGTCGTTGGAAATATCATACCTGTATCATACTGCTACGGATATCTGCTGTACGGTAGCTTGCTTGCTAAGCCCTAACTAGCAATTTTAACGGAAGAAACTGGTGCCTTAAGTTCTATAGAATATCATACTGATTGCGGTATGATACCATAAGTTAATACGGGCACTGTACTCTCATAATTGGCATCCATTGTCCCGCCCTACTGCCACCGGTAGCTCCATAGGCTCACAGAGGCCGACATAAACACCCCCTCTTCGAGCTCTCGAACCGACGATCTATCGTAAAAAATACCAAACCATACTCCCACTTTTCTCTTGCCATCTGGATTGTCTATTTTAATCCCAAAAACATGTTCTATAGACCCAGCGAGTTCGCTGGATCAAAGCGTACTGTCCTGTTTTCATTCCGCCAACGAGGTCAGAATGGTAGGCTTGGACTGAATGAGGATAGATCCGTTCCCGTTAATCTGGAATTGCCAGTATTTAACCCTACGGAAACCTTTATTAAACCAAGACTTCCAGATGTGTTTATTTGATTTCTCCATGCTTGTACCGGGATCTCTCCCCATCTCCAAACCCAACGCTGAAGGTCCGAAAGCTACCAATAAATTATATGCTCGCGGTTCCGGGTGATAAAAGCATATTCCAATCGCCCTGTGAACTCGGCCTGGTGGAGGTAGTTTTCAAGATATCGTAAAGGAGGAAACACAATCATTTCCCACAGATTTCCGACCACCACAGACTACCCATAGGTGCCGCCCCGGTTTAGTTGCTGATATTACATCACATACACTATACTGACATATGCACCAAACTTCCAACATGCGATGGCATACAAAAAGCTATATAGACGGGCAAGGGTATTTATTCGCAGCTATCCACAGTTCTAGAAATTGAGGAGACGACGTGATGATTTATGAGTATAAATACAGGCACACCCAAATCCCATTGTGGCTCTCGCTGAAGTCCTCTCCATACTTTGTTTTTATTTTTCTTAAATATTAGTCTTGTCTCCCTATCCGTCCGTGAGAATAAATTGTTAGCTACCGAACCATCGCCGAAAATAAATCAAGATGGGAGCGGTGATGGGTGGGGGATGAGAATACCCTTGAGGAGCCTCTTGACGACCTTATCCTTGGTCACAAGGTAAACATGTGCGCCCCAACCTATGCATCCGATCAGCAACTATGCAAAACCATCCCCAGGACGTGCGAGAAACCCACCGGACAAGGCATCACGGTCGACAGAGTTAAGGAGTGCCTGAGAGATAGTTTCGAACAAGTCTTCCGGCTCCTATAAAACGCCAGCATATCAGTGAGTAGCTCTCCTGCTTCATCCATCCTTCATGATCAAGCATATCATACCAAATCAGGCTCCCATAATCCTTCACAAGTACCAAAGAGCTGGTCAGATGCCGTTCCCGACACGATAAAGTCCTCAGCAAAGTTGATGCACCCAATCGAGTCAAATCCGCAGATAAACGGCTTGCCGCTATGTTGGTTAATCCCAGCGATGACAGGCGAAACAAAGTACGGTCCGAATCGTTTTTCATATAGAGAGGATGAGACTAGATTCGCCATGGTCTGAGGCTCGATGTCACGCTCCTCTCGTAGGCGATACATGTTCACCTTATAGCGGAAGAGCTCGGCGCTACATGCTCCATCCATTCATCAGCAAAACTTGTCCGGGGATGGGGCGGATGAGGGGGTTGATATCCGGAAAACGAAACAGACCAACGGTGAGAGGGGGACAAACACAGATGTAACGTCCGTCGCCAAACCCGTCAGACCTAGATAGACATCGCCGTAGTTGAAGATCTTGGGGAAATCATTGGATACGGTAAGGGCCTGCATTCCCAACCTCAGATCGCAAGCAATAGCAACACAATCCTTTCCAACCCTGATTCCATCAACCTTTATCAGTAGCTAAGCTTCGCAAGGTGGGGAATGAAGGATTCCGCACATCGC